CAAATGACTTTATCGCGTAATCGGCAAATTTTAGATCGATACGTATGTTTTCCTGTCAGCATAATCGCTAAATCGCATTAACCGCGATCTATGAACGGGGCCTTATGGTTAGCGTAGTGCGTGATAGAATTCCCAAGCACTTGGCGCGCTCGGCTAGCCGAATGCCATGAGGGATGGATATCAGTGAGACTTATAGAGACTTCTTGAGAAGCAACTTACCATCCTGAGCATTGATAAACGTTGCTGGACCTACCAGAACGAAGGGACTATTATTTAGTACAAAACAAGGGTGATGAAGAACTGGTGCATCACCTTCAACGACTGGCAGGTCAGCACTTCAGACTTGAAATCAATGGATTACACTGTGGGATCGATTCTATGAGCTAGAGAGTTGGGTGGAACTTTACATTTTTGGGGATTATTTGAGAATTCGCTTCAGAATACGTAGGACGGTTCCACGCACACCTTGCGTGCCACCGCGATGGTTCCTCACTGCTTCTCAAGGCCCGTATAAGTGCCAACGAAGGAATTTCTGAGATTTGGCAGATGTTTACGATTCATTATTGAACAGTGAACGTTACTGCATTTTTGGCTTCCTGGAATTGTGGCATGTTCATTCTAGGCGACTCGAAATCGCTGTCGCTATAATTTTGGCGCACCCTGTATCTGTAAGACTGAGTAATCCACCATACCCAACATAAATAATACCGAAGTGACTTCATCAGACTTCAAAATTAAGGGCCGTCTGTCGAATATAAAAGTTCCGTTATAGTCGCGATGAGTGTATGGGCGGACTGTCGAGATCTATCCAACCTCCATTCCCTATTAGGCCGATGTCAGACTTTGCGAATCGCGCGATTCGCTAGCGTCTGCGGTCGCGTCGCGGCCAGTGAATCACTCATTGGCTGGTACCGCAACGCGACCGCGGACGCTAGCGAATCGCGCGATTCGCAAAGTCTGACATCGGTCTTAGAGAATGAACCGCGGCAAACGACTCGCCGCAAATGGATGCGCACTTGAGTAACCTTAAAGGCACAGTCCACTACTGCCTAGTTGCGGCCAATACAATCAGAAATGAAGAAATGAAAGCAGAGACGCGATGTGGACAGTTAGCGGAGATGAAGAATGAACTTTTCGAAAACACTGACAGGTAATGAAGCCGTTGTTGTCGTTCCGCGGAGGAGTGTATCAAGAGAAACAGTGAAAATGAGTAAGGGGGTACAGGGGGCGGAAGGGGGCGGGGAGGGAG